ACCTATACATCGATATATATATAAGACATGCATCATACAACTGATCAAATACACATCTATACTATTACCAACAGGACCGTCGAGAGGGGGGGGTAACCAGGGTAGTTACCAGGGGGCCCGGGGCCTTGAGGGGCCCGTAGAAAATAAGGTATGTATTTTTGGCTATGAGTTTTCAATTAGCAGCATTGGCAGGGCGGGCCCATGACCCGATAGATATTCGAACTTTAATCTTTCAACATGGGATCAACAAACTGGTCTATGACGAGGGCCTTTTCTTGTTATGGTTTATAATTAAAACATTGCCGATACGATCATAATATACTTCTCCGGAAGCCGAAAAATTCGATTGCACTTACATATATCTACTTTTAGCAGAGCCCCCAATGAAGGAGGGGGGTCAGGGGGGCCTTGGCCCCCCCATTTTTTTGCAAAACAATAGAGTTTTTTTCAAAATCTTTTGTTTTGGGTGTTAAATTTTTCCTTGGCCCCCCACTTTTCAACCTTTGTCGGAGCCCATGTTTAGGTCAGATGTTTTAGTTATTCCTTGTGTGGACTTCCTATAAACGTAAAAGTAAATCTTCCATTCACGGTGTAGACCAGAGAGAAAGCACATGCGAAGAACCAAGACAAATCCAAACGCTATAAAAGTCTTTATCAAAATCACTAAACGGGATCACGATCCAAGCAACCCCTGCGATGTCATCTTACAGGCACACGTCTGGTGCTCAGAAAAGGCAGCTAAAAAAGATACGAGAAAAAGAAGCAAAGAAGGCCTCTCGCACATTGTTTGAGGTAGGTGCTTACAAAAGAGACAAGGAAGGTGATTCAACTTTAAATAAACCTGGTGAAAGCTCTGTTCAAAGCATTGCTGAAGAAGAAGAAGACACAGACTGCTTGGCTGCTTCGGTAGACCATGACACCACAGAAAGTAGAGAAAGCACTACCGATTTGTCATTAAATAAAGATACTGTTCATAGTGGATCATCTAGTTTTGATGTCGGCACATTGACCGGATTTCCAACGAAAAAGGAGTTAGAAAAGGTTGTTAGAACTGGTCATTTGCCTCATTCTCCAGAGTTTCCCAAAGATTGCGACGGCCACAAATTTCCAACAACGGTCCTAAATGTGAAGCAGCAAAATGGGGAGGTAGTAAGAAGCTAGCTTGTTTTCAGTCCTACAAAGGCTGCACTCTATTGTTTGCCATGCAGGTTCTTTGAGCACACTATTAATAATGGTTCAAAATCAAAATTGGCTTCTCCTGATGATTGGGGAGCGAACGACAGCTGGAAAAGATTGTGGGAAAAGATTAAGGATTCCGCCATGAGGAAAGCAAGAAAAGCAGTTTTTTAAACATTAAATTAACTCTGATTTTTAAACTGATTTGTTTTAATGATTTTTTTATATAGTCACTGATTACATGTTCTGTTAAAGGCCTTAAAATACAAATTCAAGTGTTCCAGGGGCGTTGATTTCAAAATTCATGCCTTTTACAGTCCATCTAACTGCATTGCTAAGGGCGTAATCCAAAAAAGGTTTTCGCAGCCTTCGACGGTGGGGCCCCATGACAGTCCCAGCCCTGGGGCCCGGCCCGTCTCTCGACGGCCCTGATTACCAACTTAACTTATGTCTCGACATAAGACGGGCACACTATAGCTAAATCTATATTACATTATAATTGAAACTATTATTACTAATTCTTAAAGATTATAATTTTGCACATTAAATAAAGAGGTAAACAAAATAAGATTGACGAATTTTGATAACAATTCCATACGTTGTTTGTATAGGTAATGTTATGTTTGAAGATGTATTCTACAAAAAAATGGTAATATGGCAATGCAAAAACAGACCCTGCCCCCAAATATGCCCCTTTTGTGTAAAAGTGTATTGAAATTTAGAAATTCCATAATGGTACTCTATGCAAAATGTTTTAATGGTCTGCTATAGATGAAACTTTTAAACATTTTTTAACTTTTGATCCTTGCTTATTTCCCTTGCGTTATTGTAAATTTCTATCACCCTCCAGTTTTTGCTCTCAAATCAGTAGAATAAGTCTTTGCTCTGTATAGAAGTATTTTCGATGCAACCAATATGCTCCTTCGTATAAAAATAAAGCCTATCAGATCTTTTAGGGGCAGAGCCATGCAAATATCTTTCTAAGAAATTATCTGGTTAGTGAGTATTAGTAGCTACCAATGTCCGACCGGGAGTTATGTATTGAACGCTTTTAATGGTTTCCAATAAAGATGCCTTTCTCGGACAATTTTAGTTTTTTTTACTTCTCCTCGGAATTAGAAAATCAACTTTGTCGATGTTTACACGGTAGACAAAGTAATGTTAGCGAAGAAAACTGAGCATCTCCGTTCCCTTGCCTTTGTCAAAGACCGTTGCCACCAAGGATGGGATTGGACACATGCAGTGACGTAGCGAAGGGGAAGCTAGGGAGGACGCCCCCCCCCCCCCCAAAGGCAAAAAATCTCTTTGAAAAGGGCGTTTTCTGGCGTTCAAAAAGGCGTGGACCCCCAATTTTCCTTGCTCAACTCGCCTTTGCCCCCCTAATCTTATCACCCTGGCCACGCTACTGGCCACAGTCTGTCGTCGCTCATCTCTAAGCTGGTTTTGTACACTGCCACCAGAGTCCACAAAAGCTTTTATATTAAAATAGTCTACACCTTGCCCATCAACCCATCAGCCTCTGTACTGTTATCACAATCTCCCTCCTTTTTTCTTTTGAAGCATCTTTTTATGGCTGCGGTGCCATATCCTCCTCCGTCGCTATCGTTATACTCAGATAATCTTGCTTCTCTTTGTTGATCCTCGTACTTCTCCACTTGATGGGCACTTTTGAAAACCTTCGACATTTCATCATACAGGCTAGATGCCTCGATTTCGTCCGTGCATTGAAAAACGTTACACAATATCCGATCATCTGCGCTGCAAAGGAACGCAAATACGCTCGGATACTCATCGCTGACGAAACAGAACGGAATCTTGTCAAGGTCACATTGGGAGAAAAGTTCTTCCCTGTTCTTTATAATTTCTATCCCATTCGCTACTGACATTCGGATGTTCACGTACATAGAATTGAATATGTTACCACCTTCTTTTAGCTTCTTTATAGCTTTATCACACGAGTCCATAGCTGTGTCTGGTAAAACTGCACTTCCAAGGCATTTGACACAAAATTGTTGTGTCTCGTATCTCAAATTTGTTATTTTCTCGTTTGAACCAAAACTGAAAAAGGTAGATCCTTTACCCTTTCTAGTAAACATGATATGGCGGTCTGACTTTGACTTAACATTTAAATTGCCCTACCTGTCCTGAACGGTTGAGCGTTTATTCCAAGCTTCTCAGCCGTTTCGACAATTTTGCCGGTCACTCTAAACAATTGTCTTCCGTTGGGCGTAATCTAAGGATATACTAATGTCAGAAGAATAAATATCTCCGGTGTAAGATTCTTCAGGAATAATCCATTGGCCTTGGTTTACCGCAGTTTCTGTTCAAATATTGTATTTAAATTTATACAAATTATCCCATGGCTCATATAACGTAACTTGACGGCTTCCGTATTGTTGGTCTGTGAAGTGTGTCTGAGATTAAGGAGGAAGGGAAGTCAATTTTGATTATGCGAATATGAGACTGGCTCCCTTTCGAGGCTCAATAGTTGGTTTCATTTCATTCTTGATGTAAAAACGGAAAGTTGAGAGCTGAACACAAAATTTTTTTCCAAACTGCCCTTTTCCAAATCTCCAAACTATCTGATATAGACATCATAGGATAAAAATTCTATATGTTCGCACCGTTCGCACATGCGACAGCCAATTTTTGAAATTATATTAGTAATCCTTCTCGGAAGAGGTTTTTCTTAAACATTAACTTTCTCTGAGTTTAGGCCTTATTAGCAAATGTCCCATTTGTATTTTAGTTGCATTTGCTCGGGAATTATTCTTCAGATATATTTGACAACTGAACACCGTGCAGGAGCAGGGGATCCAGAATCTGAGTCATGCGAAGGGGTTTCCTCGGAGTAAAACACGTGTTTACACACTGAT